CTGGAAGAATTTCTGACCACAGGCTTTCTTCATCCTGGGCCGCGACTAGGTCACGCTCACCTTTAACACAAGGCGCTTGCCGCTTCTGCACACTCGCAGGAACCACAGAGCCGGAAGCCGTCCCGCTCAGCGCGCAAACAACCCCCCCGCCAGGCAGCGGAGCGGGAGGGCCAGATGAGCTTCACTCGGCAGTCAAGGCCGCTGCGGCAACCGGCGTAGGCACATCTGGAGGCAGCGGCGCTTTGCGAAGCTTACAGGTCTGGAATGAGTGCTTGCCGAAGCAGCGGTGGCACACATGCGCAAAGCGGCAGGCTGGATCTGCGCAGCCCTTCTTCTTGTTGAATCGCCAGCAAATGCATCTGCCATCAGGAGTCTTCGTGGCTTTGCCACAGGTGAAGACAGTGGAGGCTACCAGCTCAAGCTCCTCAAAACAAACTGAGGAGGCCGCAAATTTGGACACGCGCGCACACTAGCATTCATTGTGTACAGCACGCATGCTTTATTTCTTTTGAGTCGAGTCAGCTGACATGCAAGGGGCCAGCGCACACAAGCAAGCGAGGGCTCGACGAGCAGGCTTTGAAAGCACTGGAGGTCAGGGTTGGGGTTTATTTGCAACTTCTGGGCAGAAAATCTTGAGCTGCTTCAGGAGATTCAGAGTACTGGCAAGCGTGGCAGAGAGTGCAAGATTCTGCAAGCTTTACGGAGCTTTCAGGCCAGCCTTGTTCTTGTGAAGCTTTTAAGGTTTTAATGTCACCACCTGCGAAATTGGTTTTGCACCAGGATCGAGGTTGTCCTTCCAAAGCACGGCCAGTCAGAAGGCCGAGTGAACTTGCAGTTTCTTGAAACTTTGTTTTTCTGAACATGAGGCCAACTCCGGTGGCTTCGACGGAGAAGAAGGGAGAGAGGGCGAAGTGGCCCCTTTTTCTTCCCAGCGGGAGGAAAGCGCCGCCCCCGCCGCCGCTGCCAGGCACGGTGGTTCGCAAACCAGTGAACCCACCACCCCCAGCGGTGGAGCTGCGCCGAAAGAGGTCCCGGTAAAAAAATGTTCTTCTGCCTGCACGCTCCTGCAACAAAGTGAGTAAGCAGTACATGAAGGAACGACTATTCGCTGCTCTCAGGTCGTCTTGGAGTTCACACAAGGCTGGGCATGCAATCTGGATGCACGCAGCTCTCACGCATGTCCAAGGCATTCATGTTCACACACGCATGTCTCATGCATGTCCAAAGCATTCATGTTCACGCACGCATGTCTCATGCATGTCCAAAGCATTGATATTCACGCATGGCTAATAATTGAACTCGTTCATTACCAGTCCCAAGTTAGTCACCAGCGCATGCCTGACAGCCTTACCCCTTTACCCCTGCCGAATTCTTGTTGCCAGGTGTTTTGCAGTCATGGTCCGGGCCTCAGCATACATGTTATATAAAAGATATAGCCCCCAACTATTCCCCCAAAAGATGGAACTTTATATAAGGGGTAGCACCTAGACACGAGTGCCAAGTTTAAGGTGCAGATCATGTCAGAGCCCGATCGCTCGGGCAGCATGCATGACTCTATTTTCTTGTGCCCTTGGGTAAGTTTTATGCAATGTATATTGCTGCAAAGTACACTCTGGATTATCCCAGTACCTCCACAACATGGGCCTTCCCTCGATAGTAGTGTAGTATAGTAGTGTATGTGCAGTATGATGAACAAGTCTGCAGTGTGATAGCACTCAAAGCTGCTGCCAGCTCATTGGCGCAAGGCATCATCGCGAAAGCGCAAATTCGTGAAGTGGAAGCCGTGGATGAACTGCCGTGACCCACTTGTTTGGTGCTTGTGCTTGCTCCAGGAAATTGTGTTGTCACGATGCATGCATGGTCTTGACACAGGGAAGCTTGACGGGACTTACTTGTTGGATCTGTCCCCATCTGGCATGCATGTTTGCAGCTCGAGTTGGCGCAAGTTTTTGCGAAGATGCCCCGCATCCCGAAGCAGAAGTCCATGGATCCAGATGTTGCTAAGAAGCTGGTTGGCGAATGGTCCCTTTCCCCTGTGATCAACCAGGCCATCTGCTTTGGGCATTTTTACTGTTCAGCTAAAGGGCAGCACAATTCATTTTAGTGCACTGCAGCAGCTTCGAATTATTTCGTATTCCCTGGAGGCTGGCTTCAGCTTGATCAGGCCTTTTCAGGCCAAGCTCTTTGAGGGAGTTACGACAAACAGGGATGTTGAGCTCAAAGGAGACGTGCTTGCCTGAGACGCTGATTTTGTGAGAAGTGTTACGCACGCATTTTTCTTGATTCAGCTGGGTGGCTGAATGTGCGCTCAGATCATCTGTGGGACCCTGGCTATTTGCCACGGCCTTCGGCTTAGCGAGGAAGCGCTGGCAGAAGCTGTGGAGCTCCATTTCAAAGCACACCACACCGCGCCGTCTGGTGTCAGCGAGGAAATGCTCCAGAAATGGGTCTTGTGTGGCAGGTTTCGCCGGCTGTTCACGGTGTCTGAGGGCGCCAAGAGCAAAAAGATCGCGGAACTCAAGCAGATCCTTCGGACTCGCTTAGTGGCCCTCTATGGTGATTCCTGGAAAGAAAAGGCACATGTGCCCGAGGAGGAGGAGGCTGCAAAGGAAGCCCCAGATGCGATGGAGCTTCTGCCTTCCTTGCAGTGGGCTGAGCTGGACAAGCTCGTTGTGAGATCCGGGCCAGCAGCAGTTGGTGCTTTCTGCCGCGAAGGTGGGCCCTGCCGCAGGTCAGCCAAAGGCCAAAGCCTTCCACGCGAAGCTTGACAAGCTGGTGCTGCCTACGCAGGCTTCAGCGCTGCACTCTTTTGCGGTAGGAAATGTGCTGCGCAAGAAATTTTCATTTTGAGCACTGTGTGCTGGCAGGTGCTTCGTGCCATCTCTGCCAACCAAGATTCTGCGCAGCCCTTCGCTGTGGACGCTGCTGCTGTGGAAGCTTCTGGGGAGCAGGGCGATGCAGATGAGGAGCGCCCTCTGCAGGGGAATGGGGCGGCAGCCAGCTCGGATGGCTCCTGTTGTCCTAGTCTTGAGGCCCAGCTCATCTTCGACGTTTTCTTGAAGCGGCTTCCCCCGGAAGATGCCAAGGATGAGGTAGAGCAGCCTGCTCCGAAGAAGGCCAAGCTGGATGTGGCGAGGCCCTTGCGTGGCTGCGTGCCGCAGATTGCAGAAGACAAGGTGTCTGTGAATTCTGAGAATGCTGGAGACCTCGTGAAGGTTGAGAAGCTCTGTGTGGTGAAGGCTGCTAAGCAGTCGTACATTCAAGCTGTTTGCAACGGGCGGAAACGCTTGCTTGTGAGCGTGACGCCTTCGATGTCGGCGAAGCATGAGGCAGTCATTGCTCAGTTGCTGGCTCTGGCCAAGCCCTTGCACGAAAGCCTCCTCTTCCGTGACCTCAAGCAACTGCTCCTCGAAGCAAGGACGAAGTTGCTGTGAAACTCGAGCTGCTTGGGCTTCATGTGGGGCTTCCCATTTGGAGCACTGTGCGCAGGGATTGTACAGTAGTGCTGTTCCGTGCGCAACTCGCTGCTGCAGGGGCCGTTCAGCAGTCAAAATTTTGCAGGCTTGCCTGCTCTTGGCGTGTGCGTTTTTGTGGGTATGTGGTCACTCATTCATGCACACATGCTTACTTCAGCTTGAAAAACAGCATGCATGCTATGCAGTTTTGGCCCCCCAAGCAGTGCTTGACGTTTTGCAGTGATGAAGCTGCGCAGCCTCTTGCAATGGGGGCTGCCTCCTTACCTTATCTTGATTTTGCTCCTGCTGGACATGCACGAGTTCTTCAGCAAGCAAGCCCAGGATTCATGAAAAATCGGTTTCAAAATTATGGGTTTTCCCTTTTTTTGCTGTTTGAATTGACTTGCCAATTGCAGGACAGAGACTATTTGGAGATTTTTTCTGGATGCGCATCGGCCAGTCATGCCCTCGATGAGGAACTTGCAAATATGGAATTGTTTGTGAAGCCTGAGCTTGTTGGACCGAAGATGTATGCTGGTTTTCGGCTGTGCGCAGGCTGGCCTGACAGGCACGAGCCTGGACGTCTGCTACGACAGTGCTTTTGACTTCACCAAAGCCGGTGGATTCTTGTTGGGCCCTCAGTCAAGTGACCTCCTACATTCATACACGCTACAGAACTGAAGCATGTTCTGCCTGTCTGTGCGCAGGTGCGCTCTTAATGAGATTCGGAGGATGAAGCCTCAGAGCTTTTTGCTCGTGGGGGCTACCCTGCAGCAGCTTCTGTGCCCCGCGACTTGCTGCATTGTTTTCCCATCTTGCATGCATGCACAATAACCCTTATACCCCCCCCCTTTATAATCTAAAAACTCTGAACCGTAATATTGGGGAAGGTAATTATCGTATAGGGGTGTACATTACAGGACACTGTTGAAATCTGATTACAATCGTGCAAAATTCGATTAAACCTACACATGTGCATTTGACATTGGCCTTGTATAAGGTTCTCTGAGAGACTACTTCAGATGAAGGTCTGATCAGGCACTATTTCAAATTAGGGCCTTATTAGGGATTATTTCGCCTTAGGGCCTTAGTAGGGACTTTTTCAAGTTGGGGCCTTATTCGGGATTATTTCCAAACAGGGTCTATTACGGACCGTTTCCAGCTAGGGCCTTCTGTTTGGGATTATCTCAAAATAAGGGACTGTTGCAATTTCTGGCCTTATTAGTGACTATTTCAGATCAGGGCCTTTCTAGCCATTGTTTCAAATTAGGACCTTATATTCGGGATGATTTCCCATTAGTGCCTTGTTAGGGATTGTTTCAAACTAGGGCCTTATAAGGGACTATTTCAAATTAGGGCCTCATAAGGGACTATTTCAAATTAGGGCCATATAGGGGACTAGTTCACATGAGGGCCTATATTACGGACTATTTCAAAGACAATCAAAATCCAGCCAATCAAGGAGATCCCTAACTGGGATCCGAGCCGCAGTTTATTTTAGTATTGGCCCTTTCAAGAATAGTCTTGGGGGCAGATTTCAGAGTTCAGAATTTTGATGAACCCCTGCTTAATATTAAGGGTTGAATATATAGGGGGAAGGGATTTTTTTCATGGCATATTTCTTTCCAATCTGCAGCTGAGGTCAGCCGGCACGCATGGGAGGTCAATACTTTTTCCTGAAGGGAACCGGGGCTACTCCTCGGTAAGGACGGGGAACGTGCTTTGCTCCCGCAGCGTGCTGCGCCTGCTCTTTGCGGCCAGCCAAGGAATCCGTTTTTTATTGGAACAGCCTGCGGGCAGCCAGGCCGAGGAACATCCGCGGCTGCGCGGACTGATGAAGCATTACATTCAGATCTACAGCACCAAGATCTGGCATGGCCTCTATGGAGCTGCCAGTCCCAAACGGCAGAAACTCTGGTCGAACTGCTGGAACTTGGTGCTCAGCCTTTCGATCCGGGCTGGCTCTTGCGCGCCAGGACAGTTCCAAGAGCTTCGGGGCGAGGCCCTAACAACCAAGAAGCGCAGAGCAGATGGTACAGTGGCTTGGACAGGAAATGAGAAGCTGAAAAGCTCACAGTATCCTGGCAGCATGTTTGTTATAGTTCCCGTTGATTTAGGGATTCTGTAAATGAAGGGGTGCTATTGAGGTCCTACGTGCCAGCTTTCGGTAAGCACTTGGGCCAGCTGCTTCTGCTAGCGAAGCAAGAGCCTGGGTGGCAGGCTCGAGTGCCTGCTCGCGTCCTATTAGAGTTTCCATAAAGTTTAAGAGGAATTTGCGCCTGGCGCTGGAGGTACCTCTGGAGCCACAGATTTCCAAACTGGAGCTCTCCGAAGATGAAGAGCCGGATTCCGAGCTTGCGCTTCTGCAGGCTGGCCTAATGCATTCACTGGCCTGCGTCTAAGGCACTTTTGCAAAATAGCATCCTGCTGCCTGACAGGAGGTTGCGGGGAACTTCCATGGCCCGCATGTGGATGCTTGGGACGATGCATCTTGGCATGATATCACGCATGCTCCTAATCTGTTAGCAATATTAGAAGGGTGTCCACTTGTGCTGTGAGGCCCTGCTTTTGGATGCTCTCAGATATGTGCTCAGCTCAAAGCGGCTTTCGGCAAAGACTGCCTTCCAACGAGCTGCGTCGCAGCTTGCGAGCCGTGTAGTTGCTGAGCTGCTCTGATGGCTGAGTGTGGTGGGTGCAAAAAAGTCCGCGTACATTTGACACACATATCCCCGTTCATCGTGCGTTGTGAAAGGCCACGCGTTATGCCAGGACATGCTCAAAGTAGACACTCCGGCCCTGCAGGACCAAAACAGGATGAAGGAGCTGATAGCGCATCCAACTCCTTTATGTTGTTGACAACCCCTGCCAATTCCTGCACCTTTTCCTGGTCATTGCTTACAAAGCCCACCCAAACATAATGCCGCCCTTGACCCAGGCAACATGACTGGAAATCTTATATTTTTTTCTTTGAAACGCAAGTTCCGGCGCAAGTAAAGCCAATCACTAAATAAGGGCGCTGAGTGCAACAGGCTTGGCAGTTGCGGGGTGATCATGCTTTGCCATTTCTCCCGGGCCACACTCGAAACGAACATGAATATGTTCGAGTTTCAAACCTGCAGGCCATTGCTCAATGTAGCAAGTGTGTGAGAAATAGCGCATCTGCTAATTGCGGGTATCGCTGTGTGCAACCGATTTTTGAAGAACTGTTTTTTTGAGCAACCATCACAAAAAATATGAACAACTTTGAGGACTCAACTTCCAAACAGAAGGATGTAGCCCACACAGCACGCACGGGCTGCACAGTGTGCAGCGCAAACGGATCCCAAGCATTCCCCCGGGCCTGATTTATTTGGTTTTGAAAGAGCTTTCAAGAAGTCCATCCGCAACTATGCGTGAAGTGAACTATAATCAAAGTTGAAATCTTCACTCAAAAAGCCTGCAACCCAAGAAAATTACAGAATTGTGAATGGTTGCAGGCCGCAGGCCTGTTTTGCACCTCTGAGCTTTCATTGAATTATCTCAAAGCATCATAGCAAACTTTGTAGTTGCAGGTGCTCAACATGATTTTGAAGACACATGGTGCCTTGAGCCACATTGACTTTGAGCCTGTAATGCCACGTGGTATCTTGAGCCAAGAACGCTTTGACCACAGTATTTCTTGAATCAAAATGCCTTGAGCCCAAGCGCCTTAGGGTTTATAGGGTTTAAAGTCTGTATCTTCGGCTTTGTCCTGGTTTGGAACTTAAGGCTTAGGGTCTGGGGAAATCACATAAAGAAGGCCGAGGAAACCCCAAATGTTTGACATGTTTGCCCTGCAACTGCATGGTTTGTTTCAGGAGCAAAACAACGGAAATGGTGAGCAAAAACAATGTAATGCGAAGACGCGAGGCGGCAAGACTGATTGCAAAAGCATGGCCCACCATGCCCAGGAGGGACATTTTCCTCGAAGTGGACAGCTGACGTTTGAGGGCTGCTGCACTAAGGCTCCCGTGGAGGGTTCCAATGATGCACGCACAGAGCGCGCATACTTTCTTGACCATTCCTATCAGTACTGTAATGGAAAGCTTGGAGAATGGGATATAAGCCTACACTGCCAACCCTCTATCCACGACCCATCTCAAGTACTGCACTCTTCTCCGAGAACACATTGGATACCTCCCAGGAAAACATATTACTGGGTATCGTGACGCACGTGCGGCCTCGCACCACTGGGCTCAGTGTGCTCATACATAGAATGCAGCTACCAAATGCTGGCACTACATAATTCCTGAACTTGAACGCTACACACAGGTTTGACTAAGCTTGAATGACCACCGAAGCTAAAGATTGCTGGACACACATGAGTGAAATATCTCCAAATGTTGAGATCCCAAGGCGAAGCTATTGAAGGCTGCGCTGCTCAACCCCAACACCCTAGGCCAACGCCGCACGGAAGCGCCAGGCTCAACCTTCACTTGCTACAGTCATTATCTTACAGGATACATTTCAAACGTGAGACTTGGGGGGAGGACCCTTGGTATGGTAAGGTATGTAAACTTCTTTGGCAAATGCTCACATTTGGAATGCGTCCTTCTGATGAGCCTACCCTATAAACTCTAACAACTTAACCTACACTTCATTACTATTCACTCTGTCCCAAAGCGCCCGTCACCCAAAACTTCGGGGAATGTAGCTACTACTGTGACTTATCCATGTAGCTCATTATGGTAACGGTTGAGCTCTTGGCTTGACCTAACTCCAAAGCGCCAGTCAGCCACACGCCATCGAAGACGACGATCACCTGCAACAAGGGGGATAACAAGGGCTCTAGGGTACGGGGCTGGGAGTGTTATGTAGCCAGATAGAGTCGCATAATGCTTTGCCAAGCAATCATGAAGCGTCTGCAGCACTGACAGGAATCAGCATGTTGCACCACAAAAGCAATTTTGAGGGCTGGAGCGGATGATCAAGCGCAGCGGGCCCAAGACAGCCTCCCTAAT